GGACATTTTCCGTATATCTGGTGTATTCTTAGTTGTAATGTATAAGAACTAAAACTATATAGAAATGTTAAAGAAGAGTAAAATTTGCAACTTTAGAGTTATCCTGCGTTTCTGGTGTTACGAAGTCTTCAAGGAGTATTCGTTCAAGGCTTGCAGAATTCCACATATATTCTCTCCCTGGAACTCTTTCCAGCGCGATCTCGCACTCTCGTCGCATTGATTATGCAGATTTCCTGGTCGATGGGTCTCGTACTACTCGCAGTACTCAGCTACGTGATTCCTGATTGGCGAATTTTACAATTGGCTGTTTCCGTACCCACTGCGATCACTGTGCTGTATATTTGGTAAGGAAAAGAAAAGGGAAGGGAGAGGAAAGAAACAACCAACAATTAACACAAAAATATTAAATCTTTAAGATACTTTAAAATTGTCCAAAATTTTAAAATCTTTCAAATGTTATATTTATGTGATTTGTGATACATTAAATAAATATATAAAAAAAATATATAAAATCTCTCCTCACATTACATAGTATGTAACAGGATTATACCGGAATCGCCGAGATGGCTGCTGGCTAAAGAAAAATCAACAGAAGCTGATATGGCGCTTGAAAGAATCGCAATATATAACAGCTGTTGCATTGGATTACGAACGAAGAATAATCTTATGCATGAAGCATGCGTGGAAAGTAACCCAATGCCGATAAAACCGAAGAGAAAGTCGCGTGTCATCAGTGACGAATTTGAGGAAACAAAAGCTGATGAAAATCAGCGAGAAGAAATTACGAATTTATTAAACAAATCGGAACTAACTGAACAAAAAATTATAGGTATAAATAATGAACATATTGTATATATTAAAAATTTTATTATATTTTTCATACATTAATATGTATAAATATGTATAAACATACATAAATATTCATAAACATCAATTTTAATACTTTGACTACGATTAAAAGTTCAAAAATTTCATACATTAACTTGATTTTAGTTAAATGACTAAATTCTTGTTTGGATATCCAGCTAAGTACAACAGACGATAATGAAGTTCTTAATTTTAGACAACAGCCTAACGATGATTCACGGACAGCATTTGCCTATTGTTTTACAACGTATCAATTTGATTCCGATGACTTTATTGTTACACTGAAGATGACCTAATCCTATGGTCGAAACGTCTGTAATTGGTGATTGACATATATAGATATTATTTTTTATTACACACGTATACAACTGTCGGTTTTCATTGGCTTTACACTCCTTTATTGATTTAATTATACATAAGTATTTTTTTTACATTTCTTAATTTTTTCTAAAATAAATAGTATAAAAATTACTCTTTTAATTATTTTTAATGTTTTCACACATTACTATTATTATTTCTATTACACTAAAAAGTAATTTTACAAGAGAAAGAAGGATGTATGAACATGTATGGATATATTTCACATAAATTATGTATGTTTATGAATATTTATATATGTTTATACATATTTATACATATTCATGCATGAAAAATTTTTTACCGGCGATATATATATATATATATATACATACATATATAGGGCATTCCACGCCAAATTAACGGCCTTTGTCACCGATTCCTGCCACGCACGCATGCACACAATTAAGGAACAAAATTTTATAATTACATTATGTACATCAAACAATTATATTATAAATTAAAATAACAAGAAAGTAATGAAAATGTATAACAAGTAAGAAAATATAGACTTTCAACATCCACCACTGTAATCGAGACCTAAGTTTTCCTTTCTATTTCAATTACGTATATTACACGCATGTAGAAAAACCCAAAAAGTAAAAGAAATTACGAAAAAATATGTCATTTAAACCCATTTTCGCAGCCGCTTATAGCGGACTTTGAATTCATTTTTCTAACGAATATCAAATTTTCAAAGAATGACACTCATTTTAGTTAATAGGAAGTAGAATACTATAACTTCTAACCGTTACTTTTTCTAAACTAATTAGATATCTGTAACTTCCCTTATGGGACTAAAAAAATTCATAGTATTATTTCTCAAAAAATAGTACGTTTATTGTAAAAATATCGGCGAATTTTTTTATAAACATTAAAAATGCTGATTTTGACGAAAATCGACTTTGTTTACTTCAATCAGATTTTTCGAGTAGAAATAAAAACTTGAAGCTTTTTCATATTTTTTTCCTAATAGAGAATTTCAAAATAAACAATTTGATGTGGTTATTTTTTGTTTTTCAATAATTTAAACAGAAGTTATGTCCAACTAAACGTTTACGAAATAAAATAAATTGAAAATATAAAAAAATTCATATCTAGAAAATTAATGAAGATAAAAATATTAAAAAAATAACTGAATATATATTTTAATATAAGGAATATATTTAAAAATCAGTAAAAAAATTGGCATTGGTCGGTGACGAAGGCGATTTGGCGTGGAATGTCTCATACATGTATACCGGGTGTCTTAGACCACCCATACACTCCTTTTATCTCGAAACAGAGCATTTTAGAAAAAAACGTTTCAGGCAAAAGTTATAGGGTTCTAAATGATCTATTTAGTGATCTGATCAGTCTGACCTTGGGTGGGTCTCACCAAGGTCAGAGCAATGTCACTTTGAATTTTTTAAGTGGAACCCCTTATTTTTCATTGCATATTTTTGTAGTACACCTCGAGAGCTTTCCAAAACACTACAATAAAATAATTTTTCATGAAGTACTTTTCGAGTTATAAGGTTTGAAAGTTACAGTATCGCCGGCATTAGCATTACGCAATTTTCATTTTTATATAAAAATGAATTTTCAGTACAAAAATGAAAATAAGAGAAACAATCACCAATGTTTTTTACTCACCCATTATATAAAATCGAATATTTAATACTAAAAAATTTATTTTAGGAAAAACTTTGGAAGCCAATTCGATCGACTTGGAAAACAAATTTTCCAACGTAGAATTATGCCAAGAGACGCCAAGTTCAGCGGAAAATTTTAACAAGCGGCATTTGCCTTTGAATTTAAAGTGCGATCAAGAGTCAAAGATGACTACACTATCGAAATGCGAAAAAAAAATTTCTTCGAAAGACACAGAGGAAGTAATGTTGTGTAAAATAAAGAAAGAAAAAACAAGCAAAAATGAAGAGAAAACGGGAAGTAACGTCACAAAACAAACTGCAAACAAGATAAACTCAACATTAAAAAATGCAATTGGATCATCGATATTAAGAAAATACAGTGCTATAATGATTTGTCAATGGTAAAATGTTTTAAAAAATTATTTCTTTCTTTTGCATTTTTGTTTATTTTTATTTTTTAAGTAAAATAATGTAAAATTTTTAATATTTTTTAAATTATGACTTTATGATCTTTAATTTAAGGTGGACGTCTACAATAGTGTGCAACATACTTGATGATCTGACACCGAGTTTTCCGATTAACAGGCACATCACGTTCGCCCTGAGTGCAGCTCTCGAAATGGCGACGAATACATTTGTATATTTTATATTATCTAGATACGGTAGACGACTGCCAATATGCACATATCAAACTTTCAATGGCATTGTCTGCATTTTAATTGCGGCTTTCTTTATTTTAACTGCTGCCATTGCACCGTGGATCGGTACATAATATGAAAGAGATATAACTTTTTCTATTGTAGCACATTTACAGTCATAATATTTTAGTAAATTTTATTAAATTTTAGAGCATGGTAGATGTTTCTGTTTTATGTGTATGACATATGATGTTTTTTAATGTTTTTATTTCAGATATCGCAAAGATGATAATGTTACTATTTGGCAAAGTGACTGTCATGAGTACCCTTTCTATCGTCTACTTGTATACTGTTGAAATATTTCCAACAGTGATACGAGGTCGCTGCTTAGGTTTATGTGTGATGTCCGCAAAAATCGGCAGCCTAAGCATACTGCATTTATTTTTATTAGTACGTATTCATTTTTCTTGTTTAAGAAATTTTCTATTTATATCTGCAGTTACTTTAAATTGCAATATTTTTCAATTTATACTACTCTTCGACGAATCAAGAATTGACAAAATAAACTAATCAAGAGTTATACAGTCATTAGAAATGCAAATAACTTTTTTTTAATAGAGACATGTATCACTTCCGATACCGTTACTAATTATTGGAATGTTATGCCTCGTCTCCGGTGTATTGGTTTTAATTTTACCAGAGACACTGAACAAAATTTTACCTGATCAAGTGATGGATATGAAGAATATAATCGACGAGAATAATTGCAAAAGTGATGATATCGATACAGAAAATGACATAAAGGAAGAGGATTTGACAGAAAGACAAATTTTAAGGCAGAAACTCTTTTCAGAGAATTGGGTAGATGCTGGCAATGGAATTTTGGTGAATTTTATGGAAAATAAAAATACCGAATAATTTATAAAATAAAACAACTTTGTACTAAAATGATCGTATTTAATGGATATCTTTAATCCACTTTAGTCTTATGAAATCCTCACACAAACTATTCACTGATAAAACAATGTTTAATAAAGCGCTTCTAAGAAACAATTGTTGAGCCAATCATTCACACAAAACAAAAATTCCTATGAATTTCTCTGGGCTATGTTCAGATTTCTACCCAAGTGCCAATCAGATATCACTTCATCCTTGTTGTTTATCGAAAGTTAAACAAGGATGACATGATACCCGGAGAGCATCCAGATGGGAATCCAAACATTCCTTCATATTTAATAAATGCCAGTCCGAGAAATCGATTTAAACTGATTCGATATGCAACTGATCATTTAAAGAATATATTTTCACACCACATACAGAGATGTAATACTATCATTAGGCATATTTCCATATACGCACACATAACAATTGTAATGTAGCAAAACTGATTAGGAAAAAAATAAACTGAAGCAAACATTCTTTTAATGATTTCTTTAATAAATAATTTACTCATATTTATACATGAAAGGAACATGATTCAATGTAAAAATGTGAGAAAGTTGTGAATTATTTATCACAGTCAAGCAACAACCTATTAATTAATCCCTATAGAAGCACTATTTATATTGGAAAAAACATTAAATGTAGAGAATAAATATATGGGATAAATATAAAATTACAACTTCAGGGAACTTTAGGTTGAACGATACCATTGTTTTGAGAATTAGTATGTTGCGTTTGTTCAGCAGCTGTTTGTAGAAGTCTTGTTCGACGTCTAGTGTAATGCTGCCATAACAGAATCTGCTGATCATCAATAAATTTTGTACATTGAGAATTCACAACTTCTCTTCTAAAGTGCTCATACTGTAATAAATCCAGGAAATACAAGCACATAGGATACTTTAAATACTTTGCATATTCCGGTTCTTTCCAGTACAATAGATATTTAAGGTAATTAATAAATGTTGCGTCTTTGAAATACCCACGTTGTGCCAAAACTAGAAATACATTTATCAGAAATAAAATAAATTTTTCTTTTAAAATTAAAGAATGCAAGGATCATTCTTACTTACAATTTAAGTAATTTGGATTGGCAAGACATTGTACAAACTCTAATTCAACCTGAAATCGTACTCGCTGCTGATCATCCGTCTCCGGAGCCCCTAAAATATAAAATTTTACATCAATATAAATTTATATAAAATATAAATTTCGAAATAATCAAGAGAAAAAGTTATCAATTAATTTTGTAGTGATGTAACTAACGTGATACGTACTTAAAATTAGTTATTATATAACTTATCAAGTTAAAGATAGGTTAAAATAAAAAAATGTAACATCAAGTGATTTTTAAATATTTGTCTAAGTTAACATATTGGCCTAGTTTACACCCAACAACTTGATCTATACCCTGACCTTTACCTCACCTAAGACAGGCTCTCGAACAGAGCGTTTACCCCAATATAGACCTATAATATAAAATCTACTTCTACGTACACAGCTTATTGCACATTACAAAACATGAAATAAAGCCATCTATTAGTTTCTTAATACACTTTATGCCTTTAGGCCGTCTGCCTGTGTTTACATATGTTAAAGCTAGGTAAGTCGTGCAGCCTAAGAGAGGTCAGGGATCTTGGAAAAAGATCCCTCATCTAAGCAAGGTTATAACTATTTACACCGTCGCGACCTGTCATGTTTAGATTAGATTTAGAGTATAGGTGGCAGCCTAAATGTAGAGAGTGTAAACTAGGCCATTAAAAACTACAACTATATAATTTAAAAAAGATAGGTTAGAATAGAAGTGCTAAAGAAAACTAGAATATACCGTTCATTCCAATGAAAGATGGTTTTCTGCCTTTCATGAGCCCTGGCGGATCATCCAGTCGGTTCATAGTACATCAACTTCTGTTGAATATTTGACCCCTTTTGTTAGTACGCGTATCAAATTGGTGCGGATTAAATATTCGATACGTCCTTATTTACACTGACCTGTCTCAAAATGAATCTGATTAGGTGACATGATGGCTATGTTCCAAAATTGACTGCTTGTACTGGAAATCTATAGTGCATGTAACATAAACTGTCGCATCTGGAGTAGTAGCAGTAAATTTGGGACACAGCCGATGTTTTCATTGCTTTTAGATAAAACCTTTTTATCTAACTTTGGTAATTATTTAGATTTAGATACCTCACCTCCAATTTTGATGAAATTAGGCTCATTCAACGCGTTTTCATTCAAAACGAAAGAATCGGACAAACGTAGCGGCTGATCCCGCGAATCAAGATATTAAGCGTTCTGCGTTAATGACTCTTGAGGTTAGGAAATATGTTACACAGACATAGCGCCACCACACGCAAAATAGCATGAGCTGCATAAAGGTGCCTTTTCATGCGCAGCACGCTGCGGCAGCAAAAATGTCACGTGATACCAATTTTTCATGATTGCTTCCGCTGCATTTGCGCATGAAAAGGAATAACGACAATAGCATATGTATTAAAGTTTAACCTATATGGCAACTGTTAGTGCAGTTACAATTTGGACAATTACCATTTCAGGTAATTATTTAAATTTAGAATATCCTTATCACTTTAAATTTTAATAAAAATGTTCTCATTGTATGTACTCATTATAAATGTACTCAATTTTCACATTTTTTGCAAATATTGCAGACTTCCTCGGCTTCGAATTCTTTGCTGCTCGTTGTTCGTTCGATTGAACTTCAATGAGATGCGGCAAAATACAGAATTTTCATAAACGTCAGTTTCCATGAACGTCAAAATAACCGAGAAGGTAACGCACAGTATGCATTCGTTTATGCAGCGGTTAGCGCAGTGAGTATCATTTAATCTTTATTCAACACTCGGTGAACAACAAGGATAAAGTAATACTTCTGCGCTAACCGCTGACAAACGAATGCATGCACAATGTCAAAACTGGAGTGTAAAGTATTAACTGGAAAAGGTCATGTCACAATACATTGGGATTAGTTTTCTTTGCTGCATGCCGCCATTGTATGGATGTCGATTCAACATCAACTTGATGAGTCATTTTTCATTAGGGTAAGAACGTTTACGATCACTTATATGAGAATAAATTAAGACTCTTAACGTAACATTATATAATTTAAAACTCTATCTCATACTTTATTAAAATAATAAAATAAAATAACAGTACAACATTTTTATCCACATAATCAATAATAAAATATTGCTACTAAACTTTAGGATTAAATTATTTTAATTACTGTAGAAGAATACAAATATGTATAATGTATATATAATAAAACCTGATAATAAAACCAAATAAATGAGAAGTTGTAAGACTAATATAATTAAATTTGTGACTTGTATGCTATTATGATATGCATATATCTAGTATATGCTTAATCTAATTTAATCAATAAGTTGTTACTATAACTACATATGTATCATATTTAACATATTCACGGCTGGCATTTATAATATGGAATCGTGGAGCACTCCACATTCAAAATTTAGCTTAATGGAAATACACACCATGTTAACATCAATGTTAACGTATTGTTAACGTATTGTTAACACCAGACCTGAATATATTTAACGTATGTGAAACAGATTTATTTATTTTTATTTTCGGAAACGCGCGCGCGCGCGCGCGGTGTTGTTATTCTAAAAATAAAACTAAATACATCGCGATGTGTTGTTGCAAAAGATCTGATTATTAATTCAATCAGTCAATCTCGAGCTTCTTGAAACTTCCTTCAACGCCAAATAAATCCGTTGCTGTCTTTGCTTTACCCGGTCGTAGTGATTCATTGACGCGATGATTAGATTCATCCTCTTGGAACCAAGCAATATAATCTTCTAATTTTTTCATTTGCTTACTATGTAGCTCCTGTACAGGACCAGCTTGACCACCTGCTTCATTCGGAAGAACTTCTAGCGGTACGAATTTCTCCAGAGTGTCGCTCGTAGTATGCATATGAAACTACAATTTGCAGAAACATAGTTTATTGCTTTCTGCATTAAATTACGTTCTGCTTTAAGCAATTTTTTTCAAGAATTAAATAAATAATATATATGAGGTATTCTCCGTCAAATCGTCTACTTTTGTCAATTTCAATTTTTAAGATAAAATTTTTTAAAACGGCTCAAAATTTTCGTTGAAATATCTACTTTTTTTAAACCTTTTAAAAAAATTTTATCTCAAAAATTGAAATAAGCAGGGGGATGGCCGATTTGACAGAGAATGCTCCATATGTGTATTATAGACATTGCCGAAAAGTAAAATATGATGGTTATTTCTTATGTCTGTTTCTGTTAATGTAGATTAACTTTAATTTTGGTTTAACTTTTTTTTTATCTTTTCCTAATTCTAAGATTTAGAAAAGAATAAGCAATTTATATATCATAGAAAGGAATTTGATTTTTTCACTTTCTCATTTTTAATACATAATATTGAAGAATAATTGAATATATCATACCATATCCAACAGCTGTTTTTTCATGAAAGGTCTCATCATATTCAAAATGACATCTACTACTGGTGAAGCATTCATGAAATGCATGCCTTTTAATCTGACAGGCAATCCTTCTTGCAAATAATAGAGGAATTTCTTTAGGCCCATAGGGCTTAAACGGCCAACGTGTCCGAAAGAAATGTTTTTCATATCGATTAATAATATATGGCCATTGCAAGTGCCTTCCGTATAGAGCCATTGATCGAGTACCATATTAAATAATTTCAATACATCGTTGTAAACAAAATGCGATGGTTCATTATCTAGGAGTCTTCCATAAAGTATTTTATAGCCTTCGTTAGTAGTGCCTTCCAAAATTTGGTCTGTTCTGTCGATAATAAAATCATTTCTATTTTGTACACGAAATTTCTTTACGTGAAATATTGCTGCATCCTTTGTCACAAGGGATGTAACGAAAGTAACGAATTAAGAAACGATAAAAGAAAAAAATCATAAACATACTTACACCGTTTCACATGCCTTTTTGAGCTCTTTGTTGTTAACAGGATCTCGATTGGAGAAAAACTCAGGTACGTGAGTCCTGACTGTGAAAAAGGTGTCGATAGTAGTTTTCGTCGGTTCGAGTCGATAATAATTACTATGCAAAAACAATGCTAATTCGCTGTCTGATATTTTGGGCAGATGAGGTTGCTTTTCGCACCATTCTCTCAATATTTGTATATCTGACTCTTTTAATTCGGGATTCTTCTTCAGTTCTTCCTCGAACGACATTACCTTTATTGAAGTCATTATTCACTTTAAATTTAAACTCCTATGGAAGTAAAAAGATCTTAACATTAATAATTTTAATAAAATTCATCAACTACATTATATCGTAGCAAAGCTAAAAGTATCACGTTGAATGTAATAAAAAAATTATTTGAGTGATTAATATTGGATCAACAAATAAGTTCATTCGGTTTTGTTAGCTTAAAATTGTATATACAATATTTTCATTAAAAATAATTGAAATTTAAATTGAAAAAAGGAGTTTAAAGCTTGAAATCTTTATTTTCAGAAGATTTTTATAATTTTTGAGTTTATGTGGATTTTACATACAATATATAAAAAACTACAGCTAAAAAAGAAGGAAATTTTTCTTCTCACTTTGTAGATCTGTCACGTGCCAAAAAAATTTGCGAAAATTTTCGACTATCAATCGTGTAATTTTCCCTACAAATTTGTTTTTTTTTTAATGTTTCTACGATTTTTTTATTTCTGCGTTATTCGTAGGTTAAATAAAAAACCATTCTGACTTTAAATGCTTATAAGTCCGTTAAAAATCATTATATCGCAATTAAAAAACAAATTTTTAAAGATGATTCTTTGCTCTATCAAATGGTAAAATTGTTAATTTTTTAAAAAATAGAATATATAAAACTATTTCAGTCCACCTTAAAAAATCAAATGAATTTATTTACCAACTCAATATTTTATAAGCTTAGTATTAATAAACTTAGTTTGCATAAAAACAATTATCAGATAATGATTATATTAAATATGACAATTAATTTATACAATTAAGTATGACAATTAATAAATTATATTATATGTATATTGTAAACGTGCGCTACATCACATTGTAGCACAGACTACATATGCATTTTAATGAATTCCATTTACCTTGGATATATGTGGTTACCTATGTGGAAAGATTCTGCTCAGTAAATCAGTTTGATGTCTTGAAAAATACTGAGTGAGATCTGCAGTCATATATAATATACTTCTTAAGTTACACCGACAGCGAAGCGGCAATGTAGTGTATTGCGTGACAACTGAGTACGTTTTAACGCATGTAACGTCTCATTTTCGTGATGAATAGGAAATGTACGCTGAAATTATATTTTATAGACACAATACACAGTTTTCGTAATTAGCAAAAATGAGACATGCAATCTGGCACGAATGTATAGTGTATGTATAGTGTATATGAATTTATTACGAGCATTTCTAGACGTTACGCGTAATAAAAATTAAAAAACAAATAAATAAATAAATAAAATATCTAACGCACAGCTGATATAAAATAAACAAATTGCAAGGAAGTTGTTTATTATTATAATCTCAATTACTATGCCAATGTAAATCAGAATTAATAATTTTTTATTACATATATTCATAGTTAATTGTCAAATACTTATATAGAAATTATCTACATTTACTGAACATTAAGAAATGAATTAAAATAATATATTACATATAAAAACAGAGTTCTTGAAATACTGATTTTATATACACAAACAAACATATTATACAAATCTACATTTAGTGATTATCTAACTCTATTAAATATAGATACGTGACTGTACGTATTTTTAAAAGCATTTATACAAAAGAGAACTCATATTTTCACAAATCTGTTAAACTTGTTAGAGTGACTATAAGAAAAAAGAATGTGAAAATAGTATTTATCATTGGCGTGCAGAAAATTACGTTACGCTAATAAACAGTAAGATATATTGAAAAAAAGAGTCTCGTTATAGCTACCAAATGTTAGGTAAAATAATTTCAACCAAATATTCAGGTAATATAAATAAACATAATTTTACCTTTATAAAAATATTTAGTATTACCAAACGATATTACTAACAATAACAGTTACTAAATATTCATAAAGATAAAATTATGTTTGGTTGTATTATCTGAACATTTGGTTGAAATTATTTCACTTTAAATTCACTGGCTATAACTAGACTCTTTTTAGTATTAAGATAAACTTAAGAAAAAGGCATTGTTAATTCGTGATATATTTAGAAATTAGTCGATACGACTTATAACTGCAACTAAGCGCATTTATTGTTTTTAACAAATAACACAGGTCTGCATGGTTTTGTTGATTGGGATT